TTAGCTACTTAAAGCTAGACTTTAATCCTTTTTTTGCCACCAAAAAGCCCGCGCTTTTCGCTACTAGTGGGCTTTAACATATAGCCAGAAACTCCTCATAGTATAGTTGCTCAACCAATCAGAACGCAGCATTGATAATGGACCACTAGTTGGATTTTACTAATGAGAAATATTCGCGTTCAAGGTATGGTTGCTACCTTCAAGCCCTGGTTGCGCTGTTGCATTATTAGGGAACTTAAGATCCGAGGACGGCGACGGCAAGGAAAACGTCGCCGAAAAAGTGTCGCGAGTTCACCTTCTTTCAATCTTCATCGCGAGTGCTTTCAGTCACTAACTTTGTGAAATGTAGGCGAACCCTCCTAAAGTTGAATTCCTAAGAACCGTATCCAAGTTCAGATAGAGGGAGGACAGTTTTCTGTCCATCGTGGCTGTCAGCAAATGATGCACTAAGATGCTGTGTTTCTGAATTAGTATAGAGGTATTTTTTTGACTGCAGGAATGGAAAAGGGAATTAAATAACACAAAGATCACCCGAGCATAGTGCTACATTTCGAGCATAATTTTCGGCATAATGCTACTGTTTTGAGGGTGACGCTCAAAAGCATAATGCTCAAATTTTGGAGCATAATGTATCAGACCCTACCATGGTCATGACCCCCGCATGCTCATTAGGGTGCGAAGAGGTGCTTTCGTTTTAGAAATGCCTTGCAGTTCTATTTCCCCAACCTCAGAATAATTTTGAATCAAGGAAAAATGTAGAAACACGGCTCAATAATGTATGAGGTGGGGGAGGGGCTGGGCAGTATATTTGGAGCTCAAAAAAGCGATACGAATGCAATTTTGTCCCAGGAATGGTCCTTTTCGTGGCTCATAAAAAATTTTAGTTGACTGGCAATAGCTTATAATAACCTTTTGTTTCTATTTTAAACAAGGAGTTCATGTCATTTTAAGAGAATGAGAAAACTCTCCTGCGGCAAAGATCTTCAAAGCCGCGTACTTCTCAGCTTGAACTCAACACTTGTAAATGTGAGGGTCACAGAAATGTTTGAGTCTCAATCTGTATGGTTGTTCTTTTTTAGTTCATGTTGTACAATCTGTTCTTCAGTGGAGTAAAGACCCTATCGTGGTAGTAAAAAGAGAAGAGGGTAGCAAATACAAAGCAACGCGAAGAACGAATCAGTAGCCCCTGAAGAAGAGGAAATCACGCCAAGATGCAAAAGATGACAAAATTTTTCATAGTTAACATTTCTATGCGTAAAATGATATTAGAAGTGGAATTCCTTAAAAGCATGATTTATGAAATGTTAAAAATTTTCAGAAGAATAACATTTCATCCCGAGATGATCCTGGGTCATTTATTTTAAAAAAAATACGGGTTATTAATATTTAACCCTTTGAAACAAAATTAACCAATAGCCGTAAAAGAGCCAAAACGTAGCCAATAACCGTGAAAGCCACCACCCCATTGAGACCCCCTCCTATATTGTATTAAACGGAGCGAAACCCATCTAAGGGGGCGTGATCAGTAACCATACCTCCTTAGAAGCCCAAAATTGATAACTGTAAACAAGCCTTCTTTTCAGCAGAAGGCGCTTGAAAACAAGATAGAGCTGATAGTTGCAGTTAGTTAAGTGCTCACCGTATTCATATTGTTTGATGAATCTTTCCACCTCTGGCATTTTCGATAGTTCTCTTTCTCCACAGAGCGGTTTTTTTGACATTGCATCTACCAGGACACCATAGTTTCTAATGGTATACCGTATAGCGCTAAGTTGCTCTATCATCGCTAAGACTGACTCCTCCTTTAGCCTCAATTAGGCGGCCCAGGTCGGCTATGTCGGCCTGTATGTCTGTGAGTCGATTGTTTATCTGTTAGAACTCTTGGTCCAAGTACTTTACCTGCTCATCAAAAGGATTTGGAGTTAGGAACGTTGTCGCAATGGAAGCTATTCCGCTGAAGATGCTAAACACGGGAGCTATACGCTGATAAACGACGAAGTTGTTTCAAACGTTGTTGCAAGTGTCCCCAGTTTTTTCAGGGGTTTAGCTTTGCTAGCCTCTCTGTATTTTTGTCGTGCTTCGGTAATAGTACCGGTTCCTTCAGTTAAGCCCACAGTAATCGCAGATGGTGCTTGGAGCATATCGTTCGTAATATCATACGTGGGAGGCTCGCCATCAGTTGGTTGTCCTTAAGTCGCTCGGGACAAGCAAAAAGCTTTGAAACATCAATTGAGACCCCGAATTGTTTGGGTTAGGGTTAGGGTTAGGGTTAGGGTTAGGGTCAGGGGACGGAGTCGGACAAGTGGTCTTGAAATCCGTTGGCTGGTCCACGACGATTATTGTGTCAATGACAAGAGCATTCACACAAATGTGACTGGCGGTTGAAGTGACCGTCACTTGCTTGATCGATTTCTGTTGTGACTGGAATTGATATTTATCATCCTGCTGTAAACTTGCCCCGTCTATTTGGACCTTATATTGTTTTGTATTCCCATCTGCAGTGATCTTGGCCTGTCTGGTTTCGTCGTTCTCAGCAACAATGTTGATGATTATTTTTTTACTTGCTTGTAACGAACCACACAAATCTAGTGTTATACCTGTCTTGCGTGTATTTGAGGATGAAACCTCATTCGCCACGACTAACAACAAAACAGTCAGGAGAAGACCACAAGCAGCCATTATTCTGCTATATGTCTTGGAAATACGAGATCTGATTCCTTTTTATCTTCATGCTATTGACTAGTGGTTTAGCTTGCTTTGACGAAATTAGAAGCTGAACGCGATTTCGAAATCTGATGCGAGCAATGTACCCGCGCTCTGAATTCTGACTTTCTCAAGCGTTTCGGAAAAAAAAACCAATTGAAAAGCACGGCATGAATGTTTCAAGGACCCCCCTTTGGGCATTACCTAATCAATCGCTTCGTGCCACACGAATGTTTTATCGATTTATATCCCACAAAATGTCTGGTACAGGTCGTAATAAGAGTGAGAATATCACCGCTAGTGAAATGATCAGGTTTTCGGCCGCTTTTGAATTAAAACGTGGTTTTTGATCATGCAGGTAACATTTCGAAATCTTATGTGAGCAATGTACCCGCTTTCTGATTCTGACCTTTTCAGGCGTTTCGAAAAGTAAACCAATTAAAAAGCACGGCACAGCATGCACGTTTCGAGGAACCTTCTTAGGCGTTACGTACCAATTCTATCAATTCTAATCAATGAGGGTTGCATAAGAGTGAGAATATTTTAAAAGGATTTCCACCGCTCTTTGAATTAAAAACTTAACTTTTTATCAGGTAGGCATACCATTTCTTCTTTCAAAAAAAAAGGAAGTTAAAAACTGAAAAAAGAAAGTATAAATAGCTCGAGGAAACACTTGATCGCACTGGCACTTAAAGGACCCTCTCCTATGTCTGCTTTTTGTATTTAATATCGAGATCATTTCTTTGTAGCGTTATGGGACGGACAAATTAGCCAACATATGTTTAGTAGAAATATTTCTTTTAAAGTGGAACCATGTGGAACCTCTCCTTATATTTGCAACACCCTTATTCAAGGGACAACTCCATTCAGAGGATACAAAATTTTGTCCTGGAAAAATGTTCAGATAATCTTTGTACCTGTTATCTCCGATTGAATGGACACTTTTTTTCTGGGTCCAAAAACCGGGTTTAACCTCCCCTCAAGGGACATACTCAAAAAACGTCTGACCACAAAAAGCGTTGATAATTTTAAGTTTACACTTCTCAGAAGCGGACAGCTTTCACAAGACTAGTCTCCCCGCAGGCGTTTTTAGGGGAGCTCGTTTTTCATCCCTCCCCACAAACGCCTACTCAGCCGAAAACAACATTCCTTTCCCATTGTTTTATTTGCGTGGTAAGTGATCAATAAGCAGTTGTGCAATAAAGTGTTGACAGGCTAAACGCGACTAAAACGTGACCCTAGAGTGACCGTTTTCCTTCTTTTCTTTCCTTCGCTAAGGTTATGAGGCGCATGGAGTATTCTAAAATTTGCCTAAATCTTATTTTTGCCGTTCTGAATCTAACAATTATTAGAGGTCAGAAAGCTTTTCCAGTGTTTCATGCAGATCGAGTAATTATCAGATTACCTTGAGGTCAAGGTCAACTTTCCAGAATTTGGAAAGTACAATGTGATTGGCTAAGCATGGGAAAGGAATGTTGTCTTCGGTTGAGCAGGCGTTTGTAGGGAGGGATGAAAAACGAGCTCCCCAAAAACACCTGCTTGGGAGGCTATCACAAAACGGACTATCTCACTTAAATTGACGTACTTCACTTGTGGGAATGCAACACACAATAACGCAGCCAGCGATAAGGTTAATCTTGATTTTTTACACTTCATCTATCTGCTTGAAATAATAATTGCAGCAGATCCCGAGACCAAATAAAAGAAAAATATTTTATTTGTTGGTTAATTATTAACAAACCCCAGCCCAACCTCCATTTAGAGTTACACCTCTATTCAGGGGACACTTTCCTTGGTCCTGAGGGTGTCCCCTCAATATAGGTTCCACTGTAATCTCTGATACGTTCAAGCGTCTTTGCCGTCGTTGACACTGACGACTAACTTTGACACGAAAATGACTAATTTCGCGTTTTATGGAGGACATAAACTCAAGACAACAAGTTTCTTTTCGTTTTCTGAACTTAGACACGGTTCTTTAGAATTCAATTCCAAAAAAAATTCGCCAAAATTTCAAACATTGAGCAAGATCAGAATAAGAGCGATGGTGTTTGAAATGGCGTCGCCGCCGTCGTGGTTACTTAAGTTCCCTAAATTAGATCATTGTCGGCTTCTAAGTGAAAAGTAATCAAAAGTCCCATGGTTTGAATACACAACTTTTTTGGTCATTTATACAACAATTTATTTAAATTATTTGAACTTTATAAGCCAAGTATTATATGAAATAAAAACTCTTGATACATTATTTACATGGCTTTGTACAATCGTTCTAGTTTGCCGGTCAGTGCTTTGCTACTCAGCTCATTGCTGATGGCCGCTGTTTCCGCTCTTTTGATTTCATTAGTGATTTGTGTCAGATCCTGGATAAATACTTGAATCTGAAAACAAAAACACGAACAAAGAAAATTCACTCGTAACACGCAAGTCTCCGATATCTCTCAATAGAAAAGCATTTGGGGGAGCGGGGATAAGGGGGCGGAGGGGGGAGAGGAGAAATTTTCTAGAGATAATTTTTGTCAGCTCAAGCACAGGCATTGCGGCCATTCTTGTTATTGAAATCTGAGCATTAGTCTTTTGAACTCAATAGGAGAAATACAGATGAACATTTATTAGGGTGGTAAGCCTTTGGCTCAAGTGGTACAGAGCGCTGCGCCGGTATCGTAGATGTCAAGGGCTCGACCATGACCATACCACAGGCAGGCTCTGCTCGTGTGGCAGAAATCTGAGCAAATATCAGAGCATCGGTCTTTTGTACTCAAAAGAAGAAATACAGACGAACATTACGGTGGCTACAGTTTACTCCGAAATACAGATTGCAACCGAAAATATATTCAAGCGAACGGCGAAGTTAAGCGAAAAGTTGACATAGTTCTGTCATGCTTTTTCGCCGTTCCGAGCTGTTTAAAGCGTTATTTTGCGAGATGATTGTTTGACTGGGGGTTTAGAACTAATTTCAGCTTAGTGAACATTTCGCTAAAACTTCGTTTGAACATTTCGGTTCAAATCTGTATTTTGGAGTAACTTGTAGCGCCGTAATGTTAACAGGAAATGTAGTAAACCACGTCGTCACAAACATTACCTTTTCCAGCTGTTTCTCTGTGACTTCTATTACGGTGTTTTGCTTTAGATGTCTGTTGACCAGCATAAACAGATTATGTGTTGCCCTATGATCAAACACAAAAAAAAAATATCAAGTCATAAAGTGTTGTTAGTGTCAGGCCCTTACCCTCAACAAAGAACTCAGTTGCGAACCGTACCTAGGCTCGATTTCCGCTGTCTTTTAAGTGCGGACTTTGATCCTCCCCAAAGAGAAGACGAGGGTATGAGAGCAGGCTCCAACCTCGTTCCCAGGGTTCTCTCCTGCCCGCCATACGGAGCGAGGTTCAATTTTAACGTTTACGCGCGATGGTGGAAATCCACCTTAACTGTACCACAGGATATTTTGTCATGTGAGTGAGCTTGAGTGTAAATAAAGTAACCCGACAAAACATTAAATATATAACTTGAGAAAGGCGCTGAGATCGAAAGTGACAAATTTGTAAGCGATAAGCGCTTTATTGAATTCAAATATGGAACTTTTTCTATTATGCATGTTTTTTTTTTTTTACTGCAGGTTTACAAATATAATATGGCATGCACTTTTGCTTACTTACATTTTTATTCTCCCTAAAAGCAGAGTTTTCTTGGCGGCGGTGTTTTGTATGTGAGTCCATTGCGATTCGCATTTGACTGCTACACTCTGAGCTCGCTCCAGTTTGGTCTGTAAATGCGCTAACTGTTAAAACAGAAAACAACAAACTTGATAATAGATAGAGCTTACTGATGGTGAGGAATCACGTCACTTGCTTAGTCCCTCACTCACATGTTCGTCTAAAATCATATCGCAAGAAAACCTACTTCCATGGTCCGCTATATGTAAACATTTTTCATTGACTTGTGGTTACTACAGAGCTATGGGAGTATGTTTGATTGTCCTTATTCTGTACTCATGACAAGATGTATTCTGGGGTCTTCCAGAATTCATAGCCTTTATCAAAGAGATTTAAGAATATTGACCCGTGATTCGATTTGCAAGTATAGTTATGCCTCAGGACTATTATTTCAAAAACGCCATCAAGAAACCGCCTTACTTTGTAGAACAAATTAGAGAGAGAAGAATTCGACAAAGAAAGAAGGCGTTCATGTGGCTTCCCTTGCGTTTGGAGAACAACACCTTTAAGATGCACACAAGCTGTCTGCACAGAGGATACATGGCCGCTGACGCAAAGAGAAAGAAGAAGATTCAGTTAACTGGTTCCAGGTCTTTGATCGGACAAGAAACAATAGCATGCCCTTAACCCTTTAAGCCCCAATATCCACATACAAATTCTCCAAACTGATCTCTATACATTTCCTTTAAGAATTAGTTAAGAGAATTTGATAAAAGATCAAAGTATTTTCTCTTAGGTGATCATTTAATTAATTCTCATAACCGCATCTCATGATAATGTATGGGCATCGTTAGGAGAAAATTGCTGTTGGTCACTATTGGAACTTAAAGGGTTAACTGAAAACCCAGGGTAAATTTTCATTGGTCTTTTTATTTCTCTAGCTCTGAATTCTCGGTTTTGTCACACAAGGATAGCTTCTACATGAAGTCCACAGTGAGAACGCAGAAGACCATGGTCTCATCTTCATTGTTTTAAAAGTTACTTGCAGTGCTTGTAGTGAAGAAGTTCAACTAAGTCCTTATGTAAAATTTTTTTTACCTGGTTGTTGTAGTTTAGTATTTCGTTGTTCTTTTCCTGAAAATGAAAACAAAAATATGTACAGAATATATTGTCATCTGCAGACCAAAACTATACAATGTAAAATATTTTACAATGTAAAAACCGTTTTAGTTGCTAACCTATAAGGAGCCAAAGATATGACAAATCTAGGAAATCCAGTGTTTCATACAAAAACTAACACTTTCTAGGTACCCGAGCAAAAGAAAGATGCTAGGGTCCATCCCAAGGCTGCTGCTAGGGCATCGGCAATCTTTAGTCGCTTAAATCTGTTCATTTGCAAGAAGGAATTTTAAAAGTCAACCGCCTCTGATGATTTGACTCACATTATTTGCTGACTTAGTTAAACAAAATAAGCAGTCATAATTATATAATTGTTGTTTACATTTTAAGTTTGCAGCGTCTTAAATATTTTTCGCAAGTTGTTTTGCATTTATTTCCAACAAAATTTACATAAAATTATATTAAGCACAAGACACAAAGAAACTTACCTCTGTGAATTTCACCAATCTTCCCTTTTCTTTCTCATATTTTTCTTGATTCTTTGTTTCCCTTTCTAATAGATCCTAATTAAGAAAAACATCTGGTTTTAAGACAACTTGCATCATTTTTTTATGTTGCCAACAAACTGAATGTAACACAAGCTTTTTTATTTTTCTCCTATGTTTCCCGCTGTCATAATATTAAAGACTGCTGAACAAGTATTTACCACTATTTTATGAAAACATGTTGTGGTGCAATATTTTAAATCCTGATTTTACCATCAAAATAGTTCTTTTTTTATCAATTAATTTCAATAATACAAAAGGCAAAATAATTATTCTCATTTGATAGGCACATTTAATGATTCTTGTGGTTAAAACATAATTGCAGTCAGGAAGAAATGTTTACAAAACTAATAATTATCGTCAGCATTATCGATTTTGTATAAAATATACCCCGGCCGGTACCTGATGGGTTGCTGTGAGTGTATCATATCTGGCTATCACTTCACGGATTTCCTGAAACTTAAAGAGGAAAACAGCAGCCTCTCAGTACAAGAATGGCATTACCATGCTGAGGTTAGACCCAATGAACAGGGTACTTTATGCACTACTTGGTTTCCCTATGCCACTAAAGCTCTCCCAAAATAAATTCAACACTATTACCTATACATTATGGTAGTTTTAATTAAGTGGTCATTTTTTTGTGAGACTCATAACAAACAACACAACAACAAGACTTTCAGACTCATCACAAGAGGTTCTGAGATTCTGAGAAAATATGAAAGGTTTCCAAGACACACAACTTTCTTGTTTTCAAATTAGCAACCCAGTACTTTAAATTAATTTATTTGTTTCAGCCTGCATAACTTTATTTCCACAATAACATCAGGGAATTCCCCTCTTTAAAAAAACAGCTAGTGTACATAGCAGGATAGTAGTCTGGTAACTCTTCAGCAGCCTCCAGAACTTTTTCAAGGTACTGTTGAAATATGACATTCTTTTCTAACTTATACTGAATATGATCACGCTCTTTCATTAAAGCTGATGTTTCCTCTTTCAACCTGGAAAGCAAATTTTACTTCTTTTAGCTTTGTTATGGCACTGATTAAAAGAGAATTTCTTACCAGTCGCAAAGTCTTTTACGCGAAGTCGTGCAAGCCAAGAGACTATAAAGGGGACAGAGAGGGCATCCCCCATATACACCCTATTCCATAGGTAATTCGTCTCGAGTTATTTTTAACACCACAGATCTCAAGGGGGATTAGACAACAGCCAATCACATAGCGCGAATGTGTTCCGCGTGGATGACCCACGCTGAGAGCCACGCGTCCTTCACGAAATGACGCAGAACAAAATGGGGGAAGACGCGGAGA